CCCAGCATTTGGGAAGCTGAGGTAGGAGGATCGCTGGAAGTTATAAAAAGAAAAATCAAAATTCTGAGTGACAGGTATGGCTCAGTAGCAGAGGGGCTGACTTAGCACAAGATTTGGTTTTCAGCCCCACACATATACAGATAGACAAACAGGCACACACACACACATACACACACAGGCATGCAACTTAACTGCTATAACTATAATCTACTTCCTTTGGCCAGGTACCTGAAAATAAAAGTGCTCTGGGGTTGGTTTAGACGGACCACCGTGCTGCAGAACTTTGTATCACCCTGATTGACATCCCAAACCAGCTTTCACAAATACAGATGACCTGCCTCTCTGCCTTCTAAAAATTGCCCTACTTCTTTCATAGTAAGTCACAGTAAGTAAGGCAGGCTTAGAATATTCAGTGTGAATAACTAGAATCGTGAGGAGAAAAGAAAAGTCATCGATAGCTCCCTGTGTGGATACTGACCTACCTTCTGAACCCTTTCTTATCATGGACAACAGAATAAGCCACTGAGACATCAATTAGAAATTTCAAACTGCAATAATTAATTGCAATGTTTAGAGAGTGATTCTTTCAAGACTGTTAGCAAGGCTATGACACCAAGATCCTCCAATGGATCTTGTTATCAAGATCAGAACCAACGGACAACATCTGTCTCTTCTAGAGCAATCAATTCCCAGTCCAATTCCATTTGCTCCATGCTTAGAGTGGCAGACCCGCAGGGCACTTTTCATCTAATAGTGTTTCTATGGAAACACCATTCTCAATCTGGAAGATTCTACAAGCCCTCATACTAACTGTATTCACATGAGAGCAAAGTCTTACAAATCAGATATTGCAGCATGAATTTGGCCACACACACATGAAAATATTTTCAGGCTGGACAGTCACACAAAAAAATAAAGAAATAAAGGAAACAAACATGCATAGATTTGACTCAGAAACAACATTTGTAAGGCTTAAACTGAGGGGATCCTCATAGTAGTGCAGAGACTAGGAGTCAGGAAGACTGGTTGCCAGCTAAAGTCAAGTGTTGACCTTTGAATGCTTTCTTCAACTGAGTCTGTATCACAAACACCTCCACTCTTCCCAACTTTCAGGATTCCTGGGACACACAGAGGCTCCAAGCAGGAAAAGACACTCGCTGAACATTCTAAATAAAACTCTCGTTAACCACTTTCCTAACTAGATTATATTTTTAAATGCAATATGATAAGTAGGGAGATAAAAGAGGAAGCAAAAGACCCTCGGTTTTTACCTGAAACATTGTATTTAGTACTTTTCTTCATTCCAGGGAGCCTCTGAAACATATCTTTATAACACAATAAAGTAAAGGATGTAGAATGTGAAACACATACAGCGGAAATCCAAAGATACAGTAGGCTGTTTACTGTGGGGTAATTCCCCTGGAGAAGAAGAATATCTTGACCTGACGTAAGTCCTGAACTGATTATGACTCTTGAAGATATTAAGTAGTTTCCAATTGTGTGCAATGGTTTGTCTTCAGGCAAATGCAAGCATCTCCATGAATAAATGTTTCTATTTCCTTTCCACTTCTCTCTTATTAAGTACCTAAATCATGCCAGTCATCCTTTCCTCTTGCAGGGAATCATTTCTTTTAAGAGACTTTCCCTGCTTATCAGCACTGACAAATGTTCAGAAAGTCAAAACTGGGAGGGGGGTTGATCTGCTCCACAATCACCAGAGTTTCAGACTTGCTTCTTCTGCTCTTGTTGTTTTTATTATACATGAGAAAGCACAGGTTAGGTGGCTAGGGACCGTGATACCAAGAACCCGCCTTTAGTTCCCTGGACTATTAAAGAGGGCTGCTGACTAAATCTACCTGTGGGTAACTGAATACCAAGGCAGGTTCCTTCTCTGCAGCCACCAGCAAAGCCTTTTCTACACCTTGGACACACAAATGCTTGACAGCCTTTTCAACTTTTCAACTGACTAAACTTAATAGAAGGATATATCCATTTATTTTTAAAAGGAGGAAAAAACAAACAAACAGACAAAAACTCTTATCAACTTACTTTCCACAAGGTGTTCCAGGTTTTAGATCACGCCTTTTGGTATTTAAGAAAAACTCCTTCACAGTTTACTAATAAATGTTTATTGTTTTTTTAAGCATCATGTAGTTTCAGGGTTTTGACTGTTCTTTTATCTGGAGCAAGATTTCAGAATGGAGTTTCCAGATAAATGACATTAATCACATAGAATTATTGCAATCATTTATACAGTTTGTGACAGTTTCCCTAAGGAAGACTGAGTGTCCCCAGAGAGCTACTAGGCCTGGAAGTAATGCTAGCAGAGGATCTGTATTAACAGGTAGGGCACTCAGCAATACTCTTTCAAATCTACTGGTTTTCCTCAGAATTTATTGAAACCAGCTCCTGACTGTAAGTCTGCCTAAGTGTCCCTGACCTTCCCTTTGTAAGGATAGAAAAGGGGCAGGGGTGGGGGGAGGACTGGGGATTCCTTGAAAATGGAAACCCACTTCTTCTTTCAATTCCATGGTGGGGTGAAGAAGTTGCTCATTAGGGGAAGGAAAAGAGTGCTTTTAGCTTTACTTTCAGATAATGACATCAGAGCAATTGGATTGTTGGAAGTCATTACCAATAGTTCTATATAAGCAGAAGGTACTGTGCTGGGTCAGGGTATGGAAGTCCCCAACAGAACCTGCCAGGCAGCTTCCATAGTCATTCATAGGAAGACGAAGAAGCCTAGAGGGAGATTTCCCTTCCAGGGCAGTGGCTCAGGCCAGTGACAGGGCAACCAGCCAGGCCTCCAGAAATCATACAGCTCCTGGGTAATTTCCCTTACAATTGTCTCAGTAACACAGAGTTCTCACAAGCCTTGAGGTCTAGGTAAAAATCATGCCATAAGAAAGGATTTGCTGTCTGTTTGGTTTTTATTCCTTTTAGACAGTACAACCTGGGTACAACCTGGGAAAACTGGCACATGAGTAAAAGAGATTGCTCCTGTCTCTCCTGACTCTGCCTGATTATATTATATTCAGGGACATCTCAGTGCCGAGTCACCTCAACGCTCCTTTCCAGGCTGAGAAAGGAGCTGAGGCTAGCTACTTCTTTTTTTCCATTAAGATAGGAAATAGCAGTGGTCTGGGAGGTTCTGGGCCATGCTGATTTCACTCTTACTGCAGAACAGATAGCTGGTTGGCTCTCAGGGTGACCTCGCGGCATACTGTGTGAGCACCGTGACCGACTGTCACCCCTTCTCTAATGGATGCTCTCATCATACGCCCTGGTTGCCACACTCCTCCTTTCTCTAGTTAATAATCATCAGTTGGAAAGGTGCACAAGGCAGGCCGCAAAATATTTACCTACATGCAACAAATTTCGATAAGCAATGAAGTCAGGGTCAGATTTTAAGGAAACCAAACATGTTATCAAAATCACAGTGTCTAAAACAAGTAGCTTCCAGAACCATCTCATGAGCTTTACTCAGAAATGTGCAACACTGTCTAGATGAAAAGTTCTCAACCTGTGGGTTTGACCTTTGCGGGTCAAACAACCCTTTCATAGGGGTCGTACGTCAGATATCCTGCACATCATATACATACATTATGATTCTTAACACTAGCAAAGTCACAGTTATGAAGTAGCAACAGAAATAACTTCATGGTTTGGGGGACAGGGGTCACCACAACATGAGAAAAGATATTAAAGGGTTGCAGCATTAGAAAGACTGAGAACCATTGGTTTTGTCTGTGCTTTGAATCACCATGGGGAAACAAAAACAACTATTCTTTGTAATTTTTGCTACTGCTCTCAGTTTTGATTCCATTCATCAGGGCTGAAGAATATGGATTAATTTACATCCTTGAGTGTTAATAGAGCAGCAGAATCAATGTTGCCTTTTTATGCCACTAATTATACCTGCCTTTAGAACATGCTCCCAGAACAACTCATAAGGAATGTGGCTTGAAAAGTGGGCAAGGGAGTGAAAGTCACAAGGCTCTGGGATTTTGTGTTTAGGGGAAAGCTTTTAAGAAAAGCAATCTAAGTTTAAAATAGAGAGTCTATAGAAGCCAAGGTCACAAATTTTTAATCTCCATTCATCTGTGTAACTCGATTTTAACCTATATCTATAATAATGAAAATGCCCTGGTCAACAATTTTACTGATTTTTTTTTAAAAAATATTATTTTATCCATGAATTTTCATTTTGGCCTCTCTTTTAAATGTCATTAAATCTACATATACTTATAAAATATCCACCAAAATATTGTGATTATAAATATTTTGAGCATGAAATTCATTCAGAACAATAACCAAACCAAACAAATCTCCTGTTGGCATAAAGCCCTGAGTCTCCAGCTTCTCACATCTCCAGATTCCTGCAGTGAAAAGAGCAGTACTCGCACAAGCAATATAAACTGCTCCTCAGCTGGAAAAGTCCCAGGGGGGTGCACAGGAAGAGCTGCCTGTATATTGCTGTTTTCCTTTACAGCTCTAAATGCAGGGACAACTTTCGCTGGGGGCTCTGACTCACTGCACTGCTGTAACGGAAGGGTCCATTCAAACCACTGTGCAGCAAATTACGTGACCATCTTCCCATCAAAATATAGCTGACGGTTTTGGGGACCATTTACCATAAAGGTCCACTGAAGCGCCCACTCCAAGTGGGGTGGGTTTTACTTTCTTTTTAGAAAACTTAGCAACTAGTTCCAAGTACTTCAGAGTCACTTTGAGAAGCAATTTCATTAACATGCATACATAAAACCGCAAGTACACACAGATTCCCAAGCCTTATACCTTATAAAGATTAACAAAATTAAAACAGTGAGCTTCAAAGGACGCTCCCGATTTAGAATAGGAGTCTAGGTAATAAGTGCTAACCCTTTGTTAAAAACTTGCAACACAGTGATGGATGAAGTGCAGAGGGATCTTTTTTTTTTCTTCTATCAAAACTGGTTCATTGTCCATATTTAGTTTACATATGTCATTTAGAATCCACTTACTGTTAGATGCTGGAACAGCCACGCCCTCATGATATTGGTGGCTACTTTGGGAAAGATGCCCCGCTTTTTGTGACGCTTTTTGTCCTTATCAGGGTCATCATCGTCACCTGTGCTGGGGGAAGCTACACTGTTGTCCAAGCCATCACCTGCAAACATAGTGAATCAAATTTTGACTGATGCTACCTTAACATACTTTATTCAAATAGAATGCCTTTGGATACAAACAAAAACCAAAAGAGCAGTTAAACGATCAGTAGTTTCTTTGGTACTTTTATTTCATTCCAAGACAATGAGAAAGAACACAGTCTCAGCTCAAAAGTAATCAAGCCTATAAAAAAAAAATTATCTTCCAAAGATCAGTGCTAAAGGCGAAAGGAATAGAGGGAAATATCCATCTCTTGAGTGGCTTTGTTGCCATGGTAATTATTCCATGGAATAATATATACATATATTATTAGAATACATACATACATATATATATGTATGACCTCTACTGTGGAGTTCAGTGTGCTGGAACTGTTAGTGGGGGTCTCTGCCTGGGTGTTTGAATTCCATATAAAGTCACTGACGTCAACTGGTGAGGAGATGTATTTAATACAGCAACTGCTGCCACAGGTGATCTATCTTCAGACTGGCTGGAGTAGGAGTAGGATGGGGAAAGGCTGGCAATCCATCACATAAGCAATTTGTCATGGAATGCTTCCAAGGAGAGATATAAATTTTCTTAGTGTAGCAAGAACATCAAATTCAGTGAGGGAAAACCCCTGACATATTTTTTTTTTAATTAGAAAGTAATTACTATTGAAGGAAAACAAAGCAATGCTAGAACTGCATCGCACTAATAATCTGGGCAGTTTCTAAAATTTCTCCTTCAAGTATTGCACACTGAGATATCACCTGGTAACCTATTCTCAAATGGTCTGGTTTTTCTACTGATTTTTGTTATAAACACTTGAATTGTTTATTTTATGAAATATTTCAGCTCTGTGACTCAACAAAATGACAATAGAGCATTCCTTTAATGATGCTATATTTGAGGAGATGAGAAAAAAATGTTACCCATATAATCACAGGCACTAAAATAAGTCACAAGATCTAAATTAGAAATTCGTATATTTGATCTTCATACCAAAGTCAAAGGACAAATAACAGTGGACTAAACTTGCTACACTGAGCAGCAGCTGTGCTCTGACACATCTCACCAGGGCGCTACCTGAGGCCCTCTGCCCTGCTTGTGTGATTTTGGGATGGACTGACTGATCTGGGCCTAGGAAGAAGAGCTACAGAGCCAGACTTAGAAATGCAGTACCAACTACACCCCAGGGCACACTCGTTCCATTAAGTACATCATCTGGAACTTAGTGTTCAGAGAACTTCGGTAATACAACCTGCCTCATGACTACCTATTGGAACTCACATCACATTTTCTTACGTGGCTTCACCTCCTCCATTGCTCTAGGCCTCAGTGCAACAGGAGCTCTAGTTTGATTTCACTCATTCACTCACCTATAGCACTTACACTTCAAACCTTCTGTTTTTCTTAACTGGTCTCTTAGGAAACCCACACCTCACCCTTGGAACATATGAAAAGTGACCCCAGTAGTTTTCAATTGTCTTGATGTATCCTGGGATAAACTCCATCTAGTCAGGAGCAGATGGGCTCCAACATTTTGACTGTTAGTAGGGCGACAGCACACCTTGAGTGTTGGCAGAGCTTCTTGTAATATAAACTTCTATAAAACATCCATAATCTTAGTGCATTTAACATCTACGTAAGTTGTGAAAGTTTTCCAGGCTCATAGACCAGGCTTGCCTTAGAAAAGATCATGAAGACCCCCAACTCCAAAGCCATCAACTAATGAAGAAAGTTCTGATCTTCAAGGTCACTTGGCTGAACACACTAATGTTGGGGTCCCTGGTGGGCCAGACACCTACACACCTAAGTCAGTGCTGCTCACTCTATTTGCATACCCAAGTGTTTTATTGGGTTTGCCTAATAAATTCTTTGAAAGTCCACCATTTAAAGAAGCTTCCACTACAGAGAAGCAATTCACCACATAAAACAACAATTCATTAAAGAAACATGAGAAAAGAAAACAACTCCTTGGCATTTAAATTTGCAATAGCTAACCCACCTTTCGATAGGCAGAGGGTGGCCGAGGAAAAGAAACATATGACCCGATCAGTGATTAAAAATGAAAAGCTTCTAACCTAACAATACTGTTTTCCCCACCTCTCCATGATAGGTTTCCACCTTCACAAAAATAGCCTTTTTATCCATCTCAAACCCCTTCAGATTAATTTAGCAAGCAATGTCTAGTGCCTGCCTAGAAGAGAATTCATTGATAATTTATGGAAATATCTACCATAATCCAGTGGAGATGACTTTTTTCAGCTTTGTGCATTAATAGATAATCAAGGCCTTAAAGCAGCCTTAGCTTCCCATTACCTCAGGCAAAAGAATTCCTGAAAGCACGCCTTGAGGGCACCTGAATTATATACTCCATTAGGAGAGGGAGGCTTTCTGCATTCCACGTGTAACACTCCCCAGAACCTTTCCTGTTTATTTCTGCTTTATGAAAGCAGAAGCATTAAGAACAGAATTTTTTAAGTGAAGACTTATGTAGATACAATGGAGAAGCCTTTCAGCAGGAGCCAGATCACCCCTCCAGTCCCTGGCAGTGACCTCTCTTGAATAAAAGGTTTCTGTTACATCATTAGCTCAAGCCAAAAACAGCCCTGGCTTAATGCACAGTTTGTTCTTCCTACTGTTTTTAGGCAAATACAGCTACTTTACTCCCATCTGGGAGGGAAATTACACTGCTGGGCGGTAATCTAAGACAAGATTTTCATTGGAAGCAAATGCTTTCAATCTAGTGTAAATACTGGTGCATGTTCAGAAAGCCTAAAACAATAAACCTTGCCCCTTCCCAACACGGTTAGGGAAATGGAGAAGATGGGGGCCGAGAGAGCATAATAAAACAGAGTATTCTGAAAGCAAACACTTTCATAGATTTTAATAAATTGTTTAACCTCTTCCACTTTCTAAAATTGAAAATTGATCTCACAGCGTCTCGACCTCAGAGGAGAGTCTAAATGGTCAATTGTACCTTTAGCATTTCAATTCACTCCGCAATTTGATACAGTCACCTCGATGTGGTCTCGGGAGGATTTATTTCCTTTTTTTATTTTTAAGATCACTACACAAACTTGGAGAACCATGGCCGACCACACGGCAGCAGGCAGAGGCTCTGAAGCCCATTTGTAAAATGTCAGCAGTGACTTCATTCCTGGTGCTGACTTCTCCTGCCGCCAAATGAAGGCAAACTGAAAAGGTGGAAATAATCATAAAAATGATGCTACTCCATAAACAAGCTTACGGCCTCATTAGGGTAGCAGTGGGCTCCAGTGGGTGATTTATGCTCGTTTTGCTCATGCTATGAGGAAATGCCACAGGGCGACTTTAGCCAACTGCTAATGGTTTCTGACAGCTTCTTAGCAACTAGTGCAAGCAACGTTGTGGCGTTTGCTAGTGACAGAAACCGAAAATGTCATATTATCTGCCCATGTGTCATGAAGTCCGTGTGGCAATTAACTAGTAGGCCAGTGACTGTGGGGCCAGAGGCTCCTGAAAATGGCCTTTGGCTATGCAGAGACAGCAATGGCTGCCTGCGTGAAGGTTGCTGCTCCTATGCAATATTCTAATGCAGAAATCCACTCCCTGCAACTTCCCAGGTTCTGAAGAGAACAGAGCAGGCCACTCACATTCCTTTCTCTCCCTCACCTACATGACTCTCTAGGCACAGGCTCTGATGCTATCTAAAGACTCTAGAGGATTCTGCCTTGCAATGATTAATTGGCGATACCTGGCTCTGTGCTTTTGGATGCTGGGTTCTAAGGTGCGAGCTATTTTTTCTGCTCTCGTGCAAATTAGTCTAAAAGGATTGAAGATCACTGAAGCAGATTCATTGCCTGTCAGATTGCAAGAAGCAAAGGAACGCTGCACTGCAAAAAGACACTAGTCCACCAACACAGAGCTTCTAACAAGCAAGGGAGACTCTTGGCTACACTTTACAATTTCCAAGCTATCAGAATCATGCACTATGTGTCAAACTGTCAAACCTTTCAGCGTGGGCCATTTGCCCTTTCAAATAATATTTAAGAATTGTTTTTACAACATTTTATAGGCCATGGTCTAGTGAAAGAGGCCAACCAGCAAAGAAAGGAATTTGTACTACAATTCCGCTATGGACAGTCTCTGGGGAGACCTGGGCCTGTCCCTGTGGAACCAGGCAGGTGACCTGTGGCAGCTCCCAGGCTGCCAGAGAGCTCAGATTTCAAACACACTCAACTCAAACATCCCAAGTCGACTATTTAAGCATGCCTGGGCATTTAGACTCTGCTATCTCCTGCTTTTCAAGGCAGGATAAAGCGCCACTTATTGTATTCAGACCATTCAATAGGTCAGACTGACCATGTCAGCAGGGATTCCCTACAGGCAGGTCCAAGCTTTGCTCCCTCTTTTTTTTCTTTCTTTCTTTAACAGTCTCTTCCTTTTATTTCAGGGCTACCATTCCTCAAAATCTATTGGAAGGGAGGCAAAAACAAAACCCTAAAAAGAACCTGAGATTTACATCACAACTGATGGGACCTCAGCCTGCTCATGGGCCATCAGGTAAAAATAAAGTGGGTTGTTGTGTTGTAGGGCCTTTGTGTCATAGAGGCAAAACTCCTAATTAAGGAAGTGAACTTTCAACTGCCAGAGCAAATGAAAGCATAAGGTTGGGACCCCCTTGTTTTGTTGGAAGTTATCAGACAATCATAGATTCAAGAACATTTTCATTTACAACTCTCTGTGGAGAATCCACACTCTGGGGTCATATCCTACTTCTGACCTTTACTTTTCTTCTCTTGCAGTGTTTAGGAATAACAGTATCTTGTCCTCAGATGTACCTAGATTCAGTAACCAATGATTTAGAAATTGTAGCTTACAACCTTGGGAAAATCCTATTTTGCCCTGAAAATGGTTTAAAGGATCATTTCAACTGAAGATGGATTGCTGTCATGTGTCGTGACTGTGGACATTAAGGGCTTCCTGTTTTCTTTTGGGTCTTCCACAACAAATCTACAAGAGGGAATATGGCCC